CTTGTCACGTCTTTTTCTTCAACCAATCTAAAATGTAAACATTTCAACCCAGGGTTAGTATTTTGCTTGTATAATGTGCATGCACTACGACTCGCATGTCTCATCATGAAACAATGTGAAAAATAGGTAGCGGTGCATTCGCCTGGCTGCATATCATAATTTCTCGTGAGCAGACATACGACGCGAATTAACGGTTCGGCACTGCATAGTGTGAAACAAGGTGTAATCAATCCAGTTAATGGAATCGTCAGCAACTCCTGGGTAGGTTTAAACAATAAACTGCATCTAAAGTTAGAAACCGCCTCATTAAAATGAGCTGAGGAGTTTGTTAGAAAAATGATGAAAGACTAAATTGAGAAGGTTAAGCAGCATGGGCTGATGAGAAGAAAGAACGGGAGACTAGGAGAAGACTACACTACGATTCAAACAGAAATGGGGCAGAGAGGTAAAACTATTGTAATCCTAACATGGGCCGACAGAGGACTCGAAGAAGGAAGCAAACTAGTCACTTTATAGGATCAATCTTGCCATCCAGCGTAAGATGGAGTTCATGGATCATATATATCCAAGTTTTCATTCGTTTGGAAGACGCATTTATCCTGAAAATTGATATATACCAATGCTCACGGGTAACAAAAAGCTGTCATCATCAGGCCTCTAGAAAAGAGTACTGCTATTTAAAGTTATTTCCAATATGTTTGTTGGTATGCTTGCATATGTATTTCAAATCATTTTGTTCACAACGAAACCAAAAATGCTTAAACCATTACCCGTGTCTTATGTTTGTGGGTATAGTGCATCCATAAACAATGAATACCCTTATCTTGAATGTGTGAGATAGTGTATTCAAAGCACACGTAAACACACCAAAACTATTATTGGCTAGAAAATAACTTGGCGTTTAGTCATTACGTATAACATCTTAAATAGTTGGAAAGGTATAAGTTGAAGAAATAGCGAACCCTTGATGTAGTATAGTATTGAAGAAAAGGTGTTTTAGGTAGAATGTTTGTGCTGTATAGAAACTAAACGGTAGTTGTTAGAGTTATTTAATAAAATGAATCGTTGGTGTTGGACCTTATCTAAAACTTTTAACATTACATTCAGGTAATTTTTAACATGGATACACCCTATAACATTTCACCATTATACATTATTATCGCCATAGTGGGGCTGAAAGCTACCGAATGCTTCACTTATGGAACATTTTATCGTTAAATTTCCCATAGGAACCCAGAACAGTTTTAGTATAGATGCAGCATGTACACAAATTAACACTACCATTGCCAGCGTACTCTTAACCAATTACCATTTTTTTATTTCCATTTTCATAGGCTGCCTGAGTACCTTCGAGGTAATGTTCACGGGGCCACATATTACAAATTTATACCATTTTCATGTTTTCCGTTCTCGAATTATCACGCCGGAAATCGTCACGCCTATTTAGTTTCAAAAGTAACCGCTACTCTGGAGAATTCCATTTTAGAATCATCAATCGGGTGATATATGGCCAAATTTAACAATGTTTATCATCACAGCTAACACACTTTGCATATATTTATCTGCTTAAGTTTCTTCCCTCTCGGTTGTTCTGACTGCTTAGTTTGCTTATTGTCTTTAGAGATTACATTCCTGGAACCTCCAAGATATTCATCGAAAAAGTGTCTCTTTGTAACCATGACAAAGACTGTCACGAAAATATATTACCCCCAGTAATTGGTACACACCGTACTGCAAGTCCCTAGCAGATGATTCCTGTATAAGAAAGTCTGTAACGCTCAAAACATTATGTATCGTTTTTATCAACGACCATCTTGGTAAATATGTACCCTTTATTTAATATCCGTATTTAAAAGGTTTCGCAGAACCATTCTTCTGTTACTACAAATATGTGTAGGAGTACTGTTATTACAAATTTAATCAAAAACATTGTTCAGGGAGAGATGCGAAAATAGCAACGAATGCGTTATCTTTTAGTAACTCTCTCATCCATTCGCCACTTCCAAACAATGACATATTAATGTCCTCCATATTATCCGCATCGTCATTGAGCGGGTGTAATTTCAGGCCACCTAACTTACCTGAATTAGAATATTTATCCATTTGTTATCTTATTGTAATTCAATTTAACGTGTGCTCTCTCTCTCTCTCTCTCTCTCTCTCTCTCTCTCTCTCTCTCTCTCTCTCTCTCTCTCTCTCTCTCTCTCTCTCTCTCTCTCTCTCTCTCTCTCTCTCTCTCTTCTAACTTTACTATCATTTTCTTTACTTGCTCAATTCGTTTTCTCTTTCTCCCTTCCCTTTCCCGTTATCTTTCTTATTTCTATGTCATTTTGTTTAAGTATGAAATCACTTTGTAAATTGTAGATTTTATTCCGTCATGTTTGTTCTCATTATAGCTTTTGAACTTTCTGTCTTCTTCTCCCTTAATCGTCAGTCACCATCACAATTCAACATAAACATATTTTCTAAATAGATTTTCTTGAAAACCAAACTGTTTTTCTTTCTTGATTAACTCATAGAGATGAATGCCTCGAACTGGATGCTGAATTAAGTCTAAACTAGCGAAACGTTACATTTAAAAGTACATGCATGTCACTCATCAAGCGTAAAGGACAAGAGGTAATACTATGCTTATAGTGTGCATTGTTTACAGATTCGATGCCTGTGGTGTATGACACTTCTGAAACTTTTTTCACCAATATGTGTTATATTGTCTTTCATTTCTCAGTAATATCATACATAATATATTGGGATTTTTAACTTTTGCAAGTGAAAAGAATATCAAGTTGCTGTTTTGTTTAGAGCAAATACGAAAGAACAAATACATTTGTGTGAATTAGTTTATTGTTTATTTCGATTATGCTAATAAATTTAAGAAAACAACGCACCGCAATCAAATGGTTCCGTATTGTACCAGAATGGAAGATCATGACAAACCTTCTTTAGCAAAAACGTAGCAAAACATAATAGACTTGTATTTCGTTGATTACGTTTGCCACTTCAATATGTGGAGATTTATTCTAATAGATATTATCTTTGCTCGTTCGTTATATTAAGTGATACCTTGAGTCCGAAGATATACTTTTACTATTCTAGTAAATACGCTAGAAAACGTCTGTTTTAACCCAGCCAACGATTTTAGATCACGTGATGGCTACGTGATCACTAATAATTGAATAGCGCAGAAACAAATGCCACTTAGCACACAGCTTAGAATAGTCATATCTACAGTCAGATTCTCACTTTGGCAACGAATAATACAAAGCTGTATACAATATTGCTAACACTTGGGCCGAACATGGCTTTGGTAATAACAAATCATCTTCGTTCAATGTAACGAATTTAAAACCAATATCAGAACTAAGTCAGCTAAACATATACAAAGTAGCAACACTTGTTTACTAGAACTGAACTCTATTTTCTGAAAAAGGTCATATCCAGTAGAGTTGTTATTATAATAACTTGCAATGAAATAAAAGTAAAATAAAAAACAAACAAGTAATTATATTACATGTACGTAATATCATGCATTACAAAATCCCTTAATGCTCTAAAATGACACACTTCATGGTTTTCCAGGAGAAAATATTAACGATGGTGATAACTGTTGTCTCAGATATACTTAGGAAACAGACTTTTGCCGATTAATAAATAATAACAAAATGTAATTAGTCTATTAGGAAACTATATTCTACCTGATGGTCAAATTCAAATTGAAACTGTAAATATGATAGCTGACCATGTACACTAAGTAACACTTGTATTTTGTAATGCTACCTAATTCTAACTGAAAACCATATTCAAGTTTTAAGAGTAAAGCAGCCATTCGAACAATTATAGATTTTATTGTTACTGTGTGCATATTGTGGTATTGTATGATATTTTGTGTCAGTGATAATACGAACCTGATAATGTTTCCTATTTAGTTTGTTTCTTTCCATACATCAAGCTGTTTTTCAAAAGCGCCTTTGAAGCTACATCCTCTCTGACAAGTATTTTAATTAGAAGCTCTTAAAATCTGCCACACTTTGATTATCGCTAGATGGAGCGAGTTCCATTTTTGACATTTGAATCGTTAGAGAAGAAGCTTTTGATATACTGGAAATCTTCACCATCTGCGTATTGATTAGAGTAGAGAAAGTTATAATCTATTTAACAAGAAGCTTAGATCATGCTCTGGTCGAACGTGTTTCAGGTTGTTAACATTCTCTAATTCTCGGAGTACGATTTAACTAGTTCAGTGTATTTTACAAATAATGGCGTTATAAACGCCAAGACCCTTAAAAGCCATGTAAATTGTTACAAATCTATGGGATATGATCCCATACGAATTGTGTGGATCCGGTTACATCAGCAGTGCAATCAAAATGTTTGTACCAGAGTGGGTGGGTGGTGCAAATCATATTTTAACATACCTAGATATATTTATATTGGTATTTACTTCTGTGGTTTATTTAGACATCAATGATTTATGTTTGATTGTGTGGAGTATGGTTTGGGATGATATTTGTCAAACCTTTTAATTAGCCAATTAGTACGAGAAGACTTTATTATGTACAGTATCGAAATGACTTATGGTTGAGCGGATTAATTTTGTACAAAGGCTCTCTCCCCAGTATAGTAGCATACGACAATATGGAACGTTTACACATATACTGTTTTTGCGTACTTTCAGGTACAAATCAAATATGTGTATAAGATATACGGGGTCACGTGTTTTAATAGGTGGCATGTAATTCTGATGTGATGTGATGTGATGTGATGTGATTATGATTCTTTTAACATAGCTTTAAAAAAAAATTCAGTCATATCGCTACGATGTCAGCAATGTGGCTGTTTATTGTGATGTCCATCAATTGGGCACCATACCGCAGACATGTAGCATAATGTCACACCAAGTAACATTATTCTGACACCAGTCCAACTAGTCCTTGCACTATCCTCTTGATGTAGAGCGTCAAGAAAGGAAGCTGTTAGTAGCATTTTTTAATTCTTTGGGATGACTCGAGCGGAAATCGAACCCATATCTCCCGCATCAGAGACGGATGATCTAACCACTAGGCCACCGGAGCGGTTCTGATCTAAGATTTATAATGTCTTAGGGATGCATTATACGAATGTAAATAAATAAAAATGAATCTTATGAATAGTGCTTGTTACTTAATGAAAGGAAAGTTATATGATGATTCCGTTTATGAACATTTTATTTAATAATCAATGTTGTTTGATCTTGAAGTACTATCTGATGTCTCATGAAATTGGGGAAACTGGCTTCAGGCAAATTATATTCTATATCTTTATAAATAGCTAAAGCACTGACCCAAAGCAAGCCTTATGCAAGCGATATTTCTTGTCCTAGGATATAGTGTAATCATTGATCTCACGACAGCCGCATACAAGTAATACTTGATGTCCATGGGAATAATAGAAACATTGACTTCAAGGCATCCTTGTGCAAGTGCCGTTTGATTCGCTCGGCAGACAGGTGATTTTCGACCATTGGGGTGTTACGGTATGAATATTTTCACCTTGTCTTCAAACAAGAAGCATCTTATTATAATGTGACTAAGAATAGTATGCGTCACATAGGCAACAAACTGATGCAGTGTGATGCGATGCGATTTCGATTTTCAACGTAGCTTTAAGTAACATTTAATGCCAACATCGCTCCTGTCTTACCGATAGAATTAACATGGACAAGGCGCGTGCTAATGCAACATAATATAAACTGGCAGGAAAGACCTATGACTAATTTTGGACCATCTAGGCATTATTGGAACTGTTACAGATTGGTTCTTTTTCAAACATTATTCTCACCCTGAAAGCGTGTTTGTATCCATATAGGAAATATTATTCTCTTTAAATCTAAGACAAAAGATAACAACATAATTCTGCTAATCAGTCGGAATGGATTTGAATAGGATGTTATTTTCTCTACATACCCTCAAGCATTTTCAGCATGTGATTTTCTTTCGGCTTAAGAGGAAATACCATCCCATTCGAATTCATGTCGCCTGACATGTCTGCTCTTAGAATTTGTCCTAGCCCTCTCATAGGATTGTCAATCTATCCATATGTTTGTCTTTGAATGAAAGTTCTATTTTGCATTCTTGTTTACTCCGACCAAGAACGTTATGTGCTTAATAACTTATATTTATGTTTAGTTAAATTTTCTGTTCATAAAAATGTTTGTATACATGAAATTTTCGTATAGAATGACCGATGATTATTCTTATTGTACCATTACAAATTTTGACCCTCGAAGGTTTGGTGTTCTGTTCTGCATCTTTGTATACATGAAATTCTCGTATATAATGACCGAGGATTATTCTCATTGTACCATTACAAATTTTGACCCTCGAAGGTTTGGTGTTATTTTCTGCATTTTAAAGTTATTTAAGTATTTCAGAAGAGGGAAAATGGAAGGACAGTGCAAATACTGACATAAATATTTTTATCAACATTTGTTGGAAATTCTTTTACTACTGAGTGAAAAGCAAACTAAAAATGAAAGAAGGGGGTATAGCTATCATCCTCGACTCACATTTCAAACATATTTACACTGGAGGCCAATTTTCAGAACAAACACTACCTTATCTACAATAACACTTTGAAGCTAGATATGAATTCCAGAATTTATATGTACGTCCAAACGAAAACAAAAATCACTGAATGTTGATATAACTCAGGAATACATTACGTCATAAAATGTTTATTATTTGCTGCAAGTACAGTCTTAAATAACTGCTCCCACAAGACGGTTGATACATGTCTCACCTGATGATACGGTCAATAGGCGAGCATTGATATGATTTGCGCATATCCCATCTGGAGACACGATGTTGCTGATACATGTTTTCGTTGTATATTAAGGGTATCTCTGCATAGTGTTTTGCTTAGGTCTCATTGCACAATTGTTGGGGGCGAGCAACTTTTCATCCGACGAAGACATATTGCAGAAAAATGATAATAATATTACATTAAAAATACAAATAAAAATTACTTAATGACTTTTGTTGAAAAGACTTGTACGATTCTGACTGAGGTATTAAGGATAATTTCTTATAAAACTGGCGGCGTTCATATTGAATCGATACTACTACCAACCCCTCTTTTTATTTTCATTTTTGAATTAGAAGATCTATTTAAAACATTTTCCTAAGAAAATGCGTCGAAATGTATTACTATGTACCTTATTATTCTTTAAAATTCACTAGTACTGTAACAAATACATTTCATCACCCCTGAATCATCTAGAGCTTTAGAAATTTATATGTAGCAGACACATGTAAATACGTAAGCCGAGGCGGCTGCTCAGTTGCAGACCAAGTTGGGCAGTTGATCTCCTATACTTGTCTAACTGTGGCAGTCACCAAGAAGCCAACCCATTTTCGAGCCTAAGTTAATGTAAATGAAAACCACATAACAGATTTAGATTGTGTGTCAATTTTGTGAATTTATAGATACTAAGGTTTTGATAATTAGGCGTATGCCTTTCCGTCTTACAAAGTAAAGGTTGTCAAAATACGAAACTATCGTTTCTAAATATACTGCCTGTATGGGATTTATGCATAGAAACTAAGTAGAGACTCGGACGTCGTGGAAGAAATATCTTGCAAAGAATATTAATAATCCTGCATCACTTGGATATGCAGGCTAGTTTGGTGACATATATATATATATATATATATATATATATATATATATATATATATATATATATATATATATATATATATATATATATATATATATATGAGATACGGGATATTTTGGCGATATTCGCATATCTTATCTAGAGATTCGGGGAATGCATGTGGTATGCTGTCTGTTCAATTTATTACATTTATTTTCTCATGAGGGAGATCTTTGATACAGTAAGCATTACCAACATTATAGACTTCCTTAAGGAAGCAAACTTTTATCATAAGTTATAGCTTATATTTTATCACCTTGTTCAGTTTTGTGTTATATATGTGCAGTCGATAGATTTTAATTACCAATCATATGTTTCCGTTATCATACATTTGCACTCCCCGTTGATCGGGAAACTTTTAATTATTTACCATCGTTATCATTTTTAACGCTTTACCTTTAACTCTTTGGTCTCCACACGCTGGTAGATAATTTTTTTACCAGTTTTAAATTAAAAATTATATAACCTTATGTTTGGCGCTAAATAGTCCCATAGTGCTGGTGCGCCGTAAAACATCAAAAAATCAATCAATCAATCTCCGTCAATCGACAAATGCCGATAGAGAATAATAGTAAGGTAGTTGCTAGGTTATGTGAGAACTTTGTGAAAAAGACAATCTATTTACTCACTCGGCCAAACGAGTGCAGATCAAAACGTACGGCACGTGTAAACGTACGGCCTTTTAAATCGTAAATTCTTGATCAATGTAAAGCCTGTATAAACAGCAAGAATATGCTAATAATATTGAAATTGAATATAAATTTAACTTGCACGTGATAGGAATATTTTTGGAATTGCTTGAACAAACAAATATAAAAAAAATTTAATATATTCTTAAGTATGGCCTCCTAGAAAGGCTGCTATCTGAACCGGGACACTTTTCGGAAAGATACTTTCTGTAAAATGTGTATAATATTCATGCAACTGTTTAGTAGAAATACCTTTCAAATTACGAGTACTGGCAATTGGGATAGACATTTAATAAAATTTTCTCTGTCGCCATTATTTTCCATAATGGTTGCAGTGAATAAGACAAGGTGTCAAAATTTTATATGCACTCTAAATTGTTTTGAAAAATGCCTCAGGCAAACACGAAGCCATAACGAATCTATCTCTATGTTTAATCAATATCGCATTATCTTTAGTATTCCCTGGCTTATAGTTACATTGCTCTTGACACAAAGACAAGATAGCCATACAAGAGCTAGACTTTTGAAAGTATTATAATAGCCAATATAACATATGTAAAAAGACTTGCATGCAATGACGGAGTGAGATGACATTTCAAGACTGCACGTGGACAATAACATGCACAATAAATTAAGACCCGTGCATCCAACAATCAAGGTACACAAAAGCTGTCATTGGCAGACTAGTGTTGACAAATGATTCGCTCGTGCAGCATAATACTGTGAAAAATCTTATTATTTTCTTAATACGTTTGAATGAAATAAATTTTTAGTACTGCATGTATTGATGCTGCGAAAATGTCATATTCATATTGATTGACTCTTGTAGCTAAACTCGTGGATACATCGTGATTTAATAGGATTTAAAGAACTGACTGCATATCAGTAAGTAGCGAGTTTTAAAGAATCACCCTCAAAGCCTCATTTCGCACCACGATATCGCTTGGGAGAAATTTATAATAATTATGTAAGACATTACTAGAGGTCAGAACCATACATCTGCCACCACATTTTTACTGATAGTCAAGGCGTTATCGGGATATTAGGCTGCAACTATCATTATATGTATTTTCAGGCTTAAGCCTAGCATACACTATGGCTCTGCTTCTTAATGCCTGCCGACTGCGGAAAACAGTCTTTCAGCCCTTAGTACTGCTGAGAAACCAATGAAGACCAAGATCAATTAGATTGAAAGAACTATAGCAAAGACAGAAATACAATTTAGCCAGATCATGACAAAATATCTCCATTACTAGGCTTTAGATTCTCAACAATATCATAAATTATATTTTTAATTTTGTCTTTGGTTTATTTTGCATTTTTTATTTTGAACTTCGTTTTCTTTTACTTTGATTCTTGTGGAAGTAATTGAACAATTATTCCTAATGAATAAATGTGCATTTGTTCTACGTTTGAGGTTTGATTTATTTTTGAAAGGAATGTACATTCAATAATGGAGATAATGTTACAATATTCATCTTAGATGTTAGTGTTGTGTTATATTTTTTCGATCTAAAGAGTTTGATATCTTAGTTCGATACACAAACTGTTGTGAGGGAACATGTGACATTAGTTCATTATTTATTATTGCACTTCTATAACTACTAAATAATCACCTATAATTCAACGAAAGAATAGTACTGATCAGACCCTAGGTTTTTATCTCGCATTTAAGCAAAACTGTCAA